ATTACAGGGAATGCAAAGATGATTTAGATATTGTACCTCTTTCTTATAAGCTTAGAGTCAAGTTGGAAAGATATATGGATCCAATAAAATGCATCATAAGTGACATAGTAAATGTTCAACTGCCAAAGGAACAGAGAAATGGGACTAAAGCTTCTTAAAGGACAGGAGAGTTATAGAAACCGGTGTTTGAGAAGGTCTTATTTATTTATTTATTTATTTAGTCCATGTGTGTACATGAGCAGGGGAGGGACAGAGAGAGAGGGAGGGAGAGAATCCCAAGGAGGCTCTATGCTGTCAGTGCAGAGCCCAATGAGGGGCTTGATCCCACAAACCATGAGATCATGCCTTGAGCCAAAATCAAGAGTCAGAGGCCTGAGCCACGAGGTGCCCCAGAGAAGGTCTTAATAAACATGAAGGTTTGATTTAAAGAAGAGTTAACACCTATTTTCTTGAAGCTGTTCCAAAAAACAGAAATGGAAGGAAAACTTCCAAACTCTTTCTATGAAGCCAGCATTACCTTGATTCCAAAACCAGACAAAGTCTCCACTAAAAAGGAGAACTACAGCCCAATTTCCCTGATGAACAAGGACTCAAAAATCCTCAACAAGATACTAGCCAACCGGATCCAACAATACATTAAAACAATTACTCACCATGACCAAGTGGAATTTATACCTCGGATTCAGGGTTGGTTCAATATCTGCAAAACAATCAATGTGATGCATCACATCGATAAAAGAAAGGACAAGAACCAGATAATCCTCTCAATAGATGCAGAGAAAGCATTTGACAAAATACAGCATCCTTTCTTGATAAAAAAACTCTCCAGAGAGTAGGGATAGAAGGATCATACCTCAAGATCATAAAAGCCATATCTGAAAAACCCACTGCTAATATCATCCTCAATGGGGACAGAGAGCTTTCCCCTAAAGGTCAGGAACAAGACAGGGATGTTCACTTTCACCACTGTTATTCAACACAGTATTGGAAGTCTTAGCTTCAGCCATCAGACAACACAAAGAAATAAAAGGCATCCAAATCAGCCAGGAAGGTCAAACTTTCACTCTTCACAGTTGACATGATACTCTATATGGAAAACCCAAAAGATTCCACCAAAAACTGCTAGAACTGATTCATGAATTCAGCAGTTGTAGGATATAAAATCAATGCACAGAAATCGGTTGCATCCCTATACACCAATAATGAAGCAACAGAAAGAGAAATCAAGGAATCAATCCCATTTACAATTGCACCAAAAGCCATAAAATACCCAGGAATAAATCTAACCAAAGATATGAAGAATCTATACACTGAAAACTATAGAAAGCTTATGAAAGAAATTGAAGAAGACACACACACACACAAAAAAAAAAAAAAAAAAAAGGAAAAATATCCCATGCTCCTGGAAAGGAAGAACAAATATTGTTAAAAAGCAATCTACATATTCAATGCAATACCTATCAAAATAATACCGACATTCTTCAGAGTTAGAACAAACAATCTTAAAATTTGTATGGAACCAGAAAAGACCCTGAATAGCCAAAGCAATCTTGAAAAAGAAAACCAAAGCTGGAAGCATCACAATCCTGGACTTCAAGATGTATTACAAAGCTGTAATCATCAAGACAGTATGATACTGGCACAAAAACAGAAACTCAGATCGATGGAACAGAATAGAGAATCCAGAAATGGTCCCACAAACATATGGCCAATTAATCTTTGACAGAGCAGGAAAGAATACCCAATGGAATAAAGACAGTCTCTTCAGCAAATGGTGCTGGGAAAACTGGACAGCAACATGCAGAAAAATGAACCTGGACCACTTTCTTACACCATACACAAAAATAAACTCAAAACGGATGAAATACCTAAACATAAGACAGGAAGCCATCAAAATCCTAGAGGAGAAATCAGGCAAAAACCTCTTTGATCTTGGCCGCAGCAACTTCTTACTCAACATGTCTCCAGAGGCAAGGAAAACAAAAGCAAAAATGAACTATTGGGACCTCATTAAAATAAAAATCTTCTGCACAGCAAAGGAAATAATTGGCAAAACTAAAAGGCAACTGACGGAATGGGAGAAGATACTTGCAAATGACATATCAGATAAAGGGTTAGTATCCAAAATCTACAGAGAACTTATCAAACTCAACACCCAAAAAACAAATAATCCAGTGAAGAAATGGGCCCAAGACATGAATAGACCCTTCTCCAAAGAAGACACCCAGATGGCCAATGGACACATGAAAAAATGCTCAACATCACTCATCATCCAGGAAATACAAATCAAAACCATATTGGATACCAACCACCTCACACCTGTCAGAATGGCTAACATTAACAACCCAGGCAACAACAGATGTTGGTGAGAATGTGGAGAAAGAGGATCTCTTTTGCACTACTTGTGGGAATGTAAGCTGGTGCAGCCACTCTGGAAAACAGTATGGAGGCTCCTCAAAAAATTAAAAATGGAACAACCCTACAACCCCGCAACTGCACTACTAGGTATTTATCCAAGGGATAAAAGTATGCTGTTTAGGAGGGATACATGCACCCCAATGTTTATAGCACCACTATCAACAATAGCCTAAGTATGGAAAGAGCCCAAATGCCCATCAATGGATGAATGGATAAAGAAGATGTGGTATATATATATGATGGAATATTACTTGGCAATCAAAAAGAATGAAATCTTGCCATTTGCAACTACATGGATGGAACTAGAGGGTATTATGCTAAGCGAAATTAGTCAGAGAAGACAAATATCATATGACTTCACTCATATAAGGACATTAAGTACAAAGCAGATGAACACAAGGGAAGCAAAAATAATATTAAAACAGGGAGGGTGACAAGACATTAGACTCTTAAATATAGAGAACAAAGGGTTGCTGGAGGGGTTTGGGGTGGGAGATGGGCTAAATGGGTAAGGGGCTTAAGGAATCTACTCCTGAGATCATTGTCACACCATGTGGTAACTAACTTGGATGTAAATTATAAAAAAAAATAAGTAAATTACTAGATTAAAATAAATAAATGAATAAATTTAGTGACTAAACAAAACAAAAAACATGAAAGTTTGCCACACAGAGAGGAGAGTTAGGAGACTGGTCTGGGTGAAGAACAGAAGGAGCAGCACCAAAGGTTCAGACCCCCAACCAATGCGTTGGCAGGGGAACAGAATCCATGGTCAGAGTAACAAGAGTTGAGGCTGAAGAAAGAGGCAGGTGCCAGGTTATGAAGCACCTTATTGTGACTATACGAAGTGGGGAACCATTTAAGAATTTTAAGCAAAGTCAGGGAGAACAATTAAGAGATTATTATAATAATACAAGTGAGAGCGGGGCGCCTGGGTGGCTCAGTCGGTTAAGCATCTGACTTCGGCTCAGGTCATGATCTCACGGTTTGCGGGTTCGAGCCCTGCATTGGGCTCTGTGCTGACAGCTCAGAGCCCAGAGCCTGTTCCAGATTCTGTGTCTCCCTCTCCTTCGGCCCCTCCCCTGCTCCTGCTCTGTCTCTTAAAAATAAATAAATGTTACCAAAAAAATAATACAAGTGAGAGATTAGGCTTTAAATTTATTAAGTGGCAGAGGGGACAGCAAAAAGAAAAATTGGACATGACTTTGCTCATGATTGAGTTGACATGATCAGGGAGGAAATGGTGTTTGTGCCTGATGAGCTCTTTTCTTCAAGGTCAGCTCTTCTGATGTGGGGGAAGCTGAAGGGACAGAAAAGTAGGAGGTATAAACAAAGTGCTGAAGGAAAATAAGGCTTGCAAATGGAGGGATCTGCAGGCTTTTTTTTTTTTCCAGGCTTAAGTTTTATTAAAAGAATAATCATGCAATATTGAGGTTATAAAAATTACTTTATTTCAAATGTGAAAATATAAAAAACTACTTATATATAAAATTTAGGGGTATTGAAGCATTCAGACTCTGGGTTGTCTTTATCTCTTTATAAATGTACTTAAATTTAATAGAGACAATATTCATAGCAGACATAAATATAAAGAGAATTCTATCTCTAGAAATTAAGATATAGGAGAAAACAATACCTTCTGTCACTGATAAAAGCACAGCAACATAGTGGTCAGTGCCATGGACTTCCCAACACGCTCTCCATTCCAAAAGACCACTAGGAGACAATTACAGGGATCTCACTGATGTTGTAGTAACTGGGGAGAATGGCCACGTGACCCATTCGTGACCAATAAGACATGAGAAGACATGAAACGAGGTTCGCTAAGAGAACCTCTGAGAAAGGGTTCTTCAAGTCTATGAAGGAGATGCAGAAAAAGTTGCTCATCTTCTTTCTCTGGCTGCTGCTGGGTCCGAATGGGTCTATGGCACGGCTCCAGCCATCACGTCACCAGCTGGAGAATGAAGCCATCACTAAAGGTGACAGACCAGAGTTGAAAGGACCTGATTCCCAGATGACATTCTGAGCCCGCCCTACTTGAACTTCTTGTTATGTAGGATTATAAATGTCCTCATGGTCTAAGCCATTTGAATCAGGGTTTTCTGCCACTTGCATCCGAAAATTTCCCAACTAAAACAAGAACTAAAGGTGGATTAAAAGTCAACATCAACAGGGGCACCTGGGTGGCTCAGTCGGTTAATCGTCCAACTTCAGCTCAGGTCACGATCTTGCGGTCCGGGAGCTCGAGCCCCGCGTCAGGCTCTGGGCTGATGGCTCAGAGCCTGGAGCCTGCTTCCGATTCTGTGTCTCCCTCTCTCTCTGCCCCTCCCCCGTTCATGCTCTCTGTCTCTCTCGGTCTTAAAAATAAATAAAACGTTAAAAAAATTATAAAAAAAAAGTAAACATCAACAGGTAGTTATAATGTATCGAATTACATTTTCTCCTCTTGGTAAGTAGGTCAATTTCATTTACAGTTGCTTTAAAATTTCATTTGAAGTTTACATAATCCAGTCCCTCTGAATTGTCGTTAATTCTTTTTTTATACTATCACTTCTAACCATCTGTCCTCTCATGCAGTATTGTTGACAAAGAACAACCAGAAGAGAAGCAGCAGATAAATCTAGCTCTCTGTTAAGGTGAAAAGAGACTCTCTCATCTATAGACAATTTGAAGATTGTGGCAGTACACTTTTTCTGACGGGAGCCCATAGAAACAGCATATAAAGAATCCTGCAGTCTTTTAATAACTGTTTTTTAAAATAAAAATGAAGCACTTTCTTAAAAATAGTGCTGTATCCCTCACTTACTTGCCTCCTGGCTATATTGGGAGCATCCATATACCTTTTTAATAACTTTAAGTAAAAATAGAACATGCAAAGCACTGAGCCTAGTGTTTGGCACCAGGTATTATTATTAGCAGTGGTCTACTTAGAACAAAAGACTGTGCTAAATCTAGCACCGCGAGTGTCCCAGTGTCCCTAAAGCTTCCCTAGTTGATTTGTAATGTATCTGCTTGCCTTCCTATAGCTTGGGTTTTGCTTTCCTCTTATCAATACACTTGAAAAATTCAATCTCAGGGATGGTGTATGCCTTTCATTTTCAGAGGCAAGCGGTAACTTTGGCATTTCTTATCACAAAAAATCCATATGAGAAAGCTGGCAAGCCCAGTGTACTTCCTGGGCGGAGAGGTTTTTCTGTCAAAGCCGGGAGGGTATGATCATCTACCATCTTCAGAGTTTGACCATTGAGTTGGACAGATCTGCAAAGGGGAAAGATAAATCCAGGTTAGCCAAGTGGTGTATGCTCCACCTTCTCTGCAAAAGTTGTGACATCTTTTTAAGGCCAAAAGAATGGTGACAGCCTGTATTATATAACTTGTTTCAATTCTATATTGGGTATTTGACCCAGATGATCTTTAAGCTACACTGGGAGAGCTAAGTCATTCTGACAGAGACCATATGGCCTGCAAAGCCTGAAATACTTACTATCTGGCCCTTTATAGAAAATGGAACATACATAATCTATATAGTAGGCACTACTATGGTGGTATAAAAAGGATAAACATGACATAACTTCTGATTTGTGGCAATTTTATTTGATAGTAAGTAATTGAAAACATTTTTAGATAAAGCAAATAGGTAGAAGGGAATGTAAATATCACAAATTTAACATGCAAAATGACATAAAATTTCCCACTTGTCACCGTGCCCATAAACCTTCTCACTCCCTTTCCGCCAGGCGATATGCATTCATTTTGCATTTCTCATGTTGTTAAGATATTCTGGTAGAATATATATCGTTGGAGTGCAACAAAATTATTTTGTAGGTTAGGGTTAGGTTTAGGGTTCACTAAACCAAAAGCTTCCAAAAAATCGACGTTTTCTTTGCATTCCACTGTTGGAATTCAAATTCAAAACGAAGTCAAGAAATGTAAAAAATATCTTAAGGACAAATGTTATCTTTTATGCACATTTACTATTGTTTAAATCAAATTAATACATGCTCACAGCAACAGATCCAATATAAACAGGGACTTAAAAAGAAAACCTTCAGTCTGCTTTTAGTTCCACTGATAGTTAATTCCATAATTCTAAACATGGCTTACATTTCTATGATCTTGTTCTCAAGTGATTTTAACACTATGAAGTTTTTACAATACGAAAATAATTTTTATTTTATATTATTTTCTTTTTTAAAATATTTTGAGAGAGAGAGCAAGCAGGGGAGATGCAGAAAGAGAGGAGGACAGAGGATCCAAAGTGGGCTCTACACTGACAGCAGAGAGCCTGATGCAGGGCTCGAACTTACATTCCATGAGATCATGACCTGAGCCAAAGTCAGACACTCAGCTGACTGGGCCACCCAGGTGCCCCCCCCCAAATTTTATTGTTGAAAATTGGTTAATGTCAGAGTTATATGTATGTAATACATGTAATATATGTAGAACACTTATAAGATTGCCTTGCATATAGTAAGCACTACAAAAATATCTATGATCACCATTATTCTGATAAATGTAACTGGTTAATTCATCATAACCATTTTTTTCTTTTTCTTTTTTTAAGTTTTTATTTTGAGAGAGAAAGAGCAGGGAAGAGCAGAGAGAGAGAGAGAGGGAGAGAAAGAATCCGAAGCAGGCACCATGCTGCAGCACTGAGTCCAATGTGAGGCACAATCCCACAAATCTCGAGATTATGATTTGGGCTGAAATCAGGAGTCGGACGCTTAACTGACTAAGCCACCCAGGTGCCGCTCATCATAATCATTTTTAATATATCCTTCATCTCTTTTATGTGCGTACACCCATATTTTCATTTAAACAAAAATGGAGATACAATATGTAGTCTCTCCCTCTTTTTTTTTATGTTTATTTTTGAGGGGGGTGTGGCAAAGAGAGGAGGACAGAGGATTCAAAGTGGGCTCTGTGCTAACAGCACAGACCCCGATGTGGGACTCAAAATCACAAACCCTGAGATCATGACCTGGGGCGAAGTCGGGACACTTGACCAACCGAACCACCCAGGTGCCCCAGTCTCTTAAAACTTGATTCTTTTTCCCTTAGCACATGTTAACATTTGCTCACACCATTAAACATTCATCCACCACATCATTTTAACAGCCGTACAGGATTTCACTGTGTGAGCATATTAGCTTATTAGTTGTCTAGTGTTTGGTTGTTTACAATTTTTTTTTTAATTTTTTTTTTCAACGTTTTTATTTATTTTTGGGACAGAGAGAGACAGAGCATGAACGGGGGAGGGGCAGAGAGAGAGGGAGACACAGAATCGGAAACAGGCTCCAGGCTCCGAGCCATCAGCCCAGAGCCCGACGCGGGGCTCGAACTCACGGACCACGAGATCGTGACCTGGCTGAAGCCGGACGCTTAACCGACTACGCCACCCAGGCGCCCCTACAATTTAGAATTATCAAAGATCCCTCAAACTCGGGGCACCTGGGTGGCTCAGTCGATTAAGCATCCAACTTCAGCTTAGGATGGGATCTCACAGTTTGTGGATTTCAGCCCTGCGTTGGGCTCTGTGCTGATAGCTCAGAGCCTAGAGCCTCTTCAGATTCTGTGTCCCCCTCTCTCTCTGCCCCTCTCCTGCTCGTTCTCTGTCTCTCTCAAAATAAACACTAAAAAAAAAAAAAAAAAAAACCAAAAACCAAAAACCAAAGATCCCTGAAACTCTATCCTAAGTATCAGCAGAAAAATTAGTTTCCATTTAACCTTTGTTAGGTGCCCTGCTCTGGGGGCTGTACCTAAAGTCTTAAATAAAAGATAACCATGATTGTACTAGAGGCCGTCAAGCCTGCACTGCATTTACACTCGGTCCACATGCGCGTGAGTTTTGTTTTAGTACCTATATCACATCAATTTTTAGAGGAGATTGGGGAGGAAATGCCATGACCATCATTAGGAAACCACAAACAAAAATAGGCCTTGAAAACATCTCTATATGTCAGTAGTAAGAGCTGTTCTGCACACAATTGAGAACCATTTTCAAGGGTACATAAAAAAGTTTCAGAAATGCTTTAGGAGAGGCCATTGAGCTTAAAGGTAAACCTCATCATTATAAATTAATACTGCTGTGGGTTAAGACGATAAAACATGGGCAAGATAATACCCTATACCATCTGGCTATGTTGTTTAATCGGCTGTAAAAATCACTAAAGTATGCTATCAATATATTGAGTATAAGCTTAAAGCATGCTGGTTATTTCTGCATCAGGCTGGGTAAATCAGGGTAGGATTTTATTCAAGATTAGTATCTTGTTTCATATTTTGAAGTCAGTAACATGATGACAAGAAATAGAAGGCATGCTTGTCAAGTTTCAGATGAAACAGAGCTGAACAGAATTAGCAAGCAAAAGTAATCTGAATTTGGGATTCTGGACAAAATTGATCTGAGATAAATATAGAATACTGCTTTTATATTAAAAATATATTCACTCAACGCTTACTATGGAGGACCTTCTGTCGGTATTATACTAAACGCTTACTATGGAGGACCTTCTGTCGGTATTATACTAAACGCTTACTATGGAGGACCTTCTGTTGGTATTATACAAGTTGTTCAACCAAAAAATGATTTTTTGGGGGGCGCCTGGGTGGCTCAGTTGATTAAGTGTCCGACTTCAGCTCAGGTCATGATCTCGCAGTTGGTGAGTTTGAGCCCCGCATTGGGCCCTCTGCTGACAGCTCAGAGCCTGGAGCCTGCTTTGGATTCTGTGTCTCCCTCTCTCTCAGCCCGACCCTGCTCACACTCTGCCTCTCTCTCTCTTTCTCTCAAAAATAAATAAACATTAAAAAATGATTTTTTTTAAAGATGATCATCGTTTAACCCTCTGAGGTCATTAGAATGAACAAGTGTCCAGACTGTACACTCATCAAACTTATCTGCGGTACTTTCACAACATTTTATTTTATTTTTTGCAACATTTTAAAGAGATAAAAGTATAAGTAATATACACTCATCACAGAGAATTTAGGGTAAAAAAACATAATCCATAATTTCACGAATTTTCCATTAATAATTGATAAGCATGAAATGTGTGATCAGAATGCAACAGGGTCTGATAAACAAAGAGAAGAATCATTGAAGAAATGGCATATTTAGCCTGGAGAGACGACAATCCAATTGTCCTTCAGATATTGGAGTTATTCCGGAGGAAATGAGGTATTTGGTATTGTTCCAGATTAAGGGTAGCAAACTCAAGGGCCCACAAGAGCCAAGGAATTTATATGTGCAAGTGCAGTAGGACAGGGTCATAGAGGTAACAGGATCATGGAGGGACTGTGAAGAACCTGTCTCAAGTAAACAACCCCAATTCAACTCCATCTACTTGGGGAAATAAGCCCAGAGTTGCCAGAGTATCTATCTTTTAAAGAAAAGATAGAAATCCAGATATTTTCATAGTTGTCAATTTTAAAATGTTCACAACTTAGTAAAAATAAGAATACGGAGTGCATGCCAACCTCCCCTACCACGAGAAAAAGAGGGAAAAAAAGCTCTCTAAACCCACTTGTCCATAAGCATGAGGTGCAGTTTCCGACCTCTGCTCTCCAGGACAGAACTCAAAACAGGAGATGAAAAGCAGAGAGAGGCTCACATTACCCTTGAGAGGACAGCTGCCTGGAGAGGCTTCGAGATCCAACAGATGAGCCATCAAATAGCTGAATGGCTTAAACTACCCATCTAAGGTTGGACTAAAATATCTCTTAACACACTTCCAACTCTACAACTATTATTCAGTTACTTCAGAAAAGCTTTTCCCTTGTCAGCATCAGACACAAATATGCTAAAAATACCCATTTCCAAAACTTAGAACCCAAATTAAAAAAAAAGGATGGGTTACCCAAATATGTATTATTTACTTTACAAAAAAGAAGAGGTTTAAACAGCAAGAAAATGGGTAAGTAAACCATGATATTTCATAAAACATGTAGCCCATTAAAAATGTCTACAAAGGCTATGTATGGAAAGACATTTTGGAAAACTTGTGGGTGACCTCCCTTTTTCTTTTCCCATTAGGCATTGTGTGATTACAGTTGTGGTAAAATAAAGCATAGGGGAAAAATATACAATGGTACCCAATGTTAATGATGTTTGCCTATGGAAGATAGGTCTTTGGAGAAAGCATGCTTACTGTCCTTTGTCAGGTTCTGATGCTAATTATCACTGAAAACATCACTCATTTGCAAAGACAGGAGGAGATGATGAGAATGTTGTAAACTCTTATAATTTTTTATTCTCCAATGTGAGAAGAGTCATGATGAAAAGAGCTCCTTCCAACACACATTGGACAGAATCTTACAATGGTTTTGGGCCTGACTCTTCAAGGGTCATAGTTATTTAGGGTATTCTGTTGAATACGGTCTCTTATAAGACATATCCAATTACTGGCTTTTAAAACCATAATGATTGGGGCGCCTGGGTGGCTCAGTCGGTTAAGCGTCCGACTTCAGCTCAGGTCACAATCTCACAGTCCGTGAGTTCGAGCCCCGCGTCGGGCTCTGGGCTGATGGCTCAGAGCCTGGAGCCTGCTTCCAATTCTGTGTCTCCCTCTCTCTCTGCCCCTCCCCCATTCATGCTCTGTCTCTCTCTGTCTCAAAAATAAATAAACGTTAAACAAAAAAATTTTTAAAAAATAATAAAATAAAACCATAATCATTATGACCAACTTCAAATAATTCACCTCAAAGCTATACTTCTGGACATTTTATTTTCTTACTCTAGCCAATATAAAACTACTTTAACACGGTAAGAGAGTGACACTCAGCTTACATGGTGTAATATTGTGCCCTTAGTACAATCATACTTAGGTATGTTTTGCTTTACTGACTCTGTTACCAAGAATTATAACTCTTTTTTGAGCAAATAATCTCAATGTCTTGAGGGGATTTTGAAGTATCAAGTTGTTTTGAAATGCAAAATATTCCCTAAGTTAACTGCTAACTGTTTTCATATCCTTCTGCGTTGGACTCTGAGTGAGTTATACCTGTATGGATAAGTATTCATCTATAAACTTCACGAATATTAAGAATTGTTAGAACTTGAAATCGTTGACTTTTTTTTTTGCTCCCTATCAACACTCTATTCTGATAAATACCAATGAATTTTGTGAAAGTTTGAAATGAAGAAAGGAAAATTACTCACTTAGAAAGTAATCCATCAGGCCCTAAAGGTTTTACGAGGTATTTGTCCACTTGTTTGTCAAATAAGTGATACGGCAACTGCAAGCGTTTGGTGACATTATGGAGGTTTAAGGCATACAGGGTTAAATCTCCTTCTTTATACCTTGGGCTAAAAGCAAATAGATTAACTCAATAAAAATAGTTATCTAACTTAAGCAATTAAAAACTCAATTACAAACATAATCATGGAGACTAAGTATTAGTATCTATAATGATGATGGGCCCTCTTTTTATCCTTCCTTTCATGATTACATTGGACAACTCATGTGGTCCTATTTGAAAAGATAATTTAATTTTTAAAAAAATTTTTTTCTTAATGTTTTTATTTATTTTTGAGACAGAGAGAGACGGAGCATGAGCAGGGGAGGGGCAGAGAGAGAGGGAGACACAGAATCTGAGGCAGGCTCCAGGCTCTTAGCCATCAGCACAGAGCCCGATGCGGGGCTCGAACTCACAGACTGTGAGATCATGACCTGAGCTGAAGTCGGACGCTCAACCAACTGAGCCACCCAGGCGCCCCTGAAAAGATAATTTAAACAATATTTTTCTTCACACTACCATTTTCTGGGTGACAGCATTCTGAGATCTTTGCTGCTTAGCCAGACTGAGTTGCCAGGAAGCTGGTCAGCCCACCCATGTTCAGACACAGAAAGGTTAAATAATAAAGTGAATTTTGTGGGTTCCTATGAATTCAAATTATAAACCATACTAACAGCAGCTTTTTCTATCATTATTAAAAAAAAATAAAACAAACAATAAAATTAAATCTATTGACACTTTTCAGAATTTCCATCCAGATCATTCCCCTACTTCCTAGTGGGTCCTCACTATTTAAAGAGTTCTCATTCACCAGAAATGACAGATGGCTTTTTTTTTGTAGCTACAGTTATTATTTTAGTATAATCCTATCAGGAAGGACATATTACTGATTAAAACTTGACTGGAAAATGGTGTGTTACATACTTACTGGTTGATGTTGGTACAGTGAAGGTATACTCGAAGTTTCCTGCTGTCTGGACCTTTCACGCTTGCCCTTAATACATTGGTGCCCACCAATTTCTTGAACAGAAGAGATAGCCAATAATCCTAGTTGGGTGGTTGGGGAGAGGAGGGACAAAAGTAGATCTTTACTTATTTCTTTATGTATCAAAAACAGTGTGAGCAAATAGTTAACCTTACAAAGACTGTGACTGTTATCCTAGAGGTATTTAAATGGAATACATCTTTTGATCCATGTTCCCACCATGAATCTGAGGGCAATTTCTTGTTCGCTGATTTTTATCACGGGAGGACTGTATTCCCACAATTCTGAAAGCCATGACCACTAGGAGTTATATCTTCAAAATGCAATTCATTGCTGAGAGAGTTTAAATGTTCTTTATTATCTATCACCAAGAATTCAAAGCAAAGCTCAAAGCAGAACTTTTAGGTATGCACATGTACACACACTCACCTACACACAAAGGCAGGTTTTTACAATAAAACTTCTATCTGCTTAAGAGATTAAAATACTTTATTTCTTTACTTTTTTTTTTTTTTTAATTTTTAAGCAATCTCTACACCCAATATGGGGCTCAAACCCACAACCCGGAGATTGAGAGTTACACACTCCACGGACTGAGTCAGCCAGGTGCCCGTAAAATAATTTCTTTTAGAACCTTATCATCCCCATTCCTGAATGGGTTAGGCAACAATCATTGCTAGCTATCAAGGTTTTAAAAACAAAAAAACAAAAAAACAAAAAAAAAGGAAAAAGAGAGAGACAACCAGAGATCATGTGCCTGTTGATGGAAGCATGCCACATCTCCTTTGAAGAATTATTGCAGGGGCGCCTGGGTGGCTCAGTCAGTTAAGCGTCTGACTCTTGATCTCAGCTCAGGTCATGATCTCACGGTGTGTTGAGTTCGAGCCTCGTGTTGGGCTCTGAGCTGACATCATGGAGCCTGCTTGGGATCCTGATCCTCTCTCTCCCTCTCTCTGTGCACCTCTCCTGCTCTCTCTCAAAAAAAATAAATAAATAAAACACATTTAAAAAATTCTTTTTAAAAAAAGTTTTGTATTGCAAAACAAAACAAAAACCAAAAATCTGAATAAGCTCAAGCCTCTAGATCTAACTGCCAGTTTACAAGAAACAGAGGAACATACTAAAGGACAGTGCAGGAAGAAATGCAGCAAAATTCAGAATGTGGGAAACACCACAGAACAAATTGCCTGCTCTCTTTCAATAATTAATTCCATAACACAAAAAAGGAGTGGGAAGGGAAACTTCAAGATTAGCAGACTTAAGAGATATTTCAACCAAATGCAATATATAGATGTTGTTTGTATCCTGAAGTGACTAGGCCAACTATTAAATACATTTGAAAAATAAATAAATAAAAACATTTGTGACAGTAAGGAAAACATGAAACACCCACCGACTAAACATTTGATGATATTGAGGAATTACTGTTAATATTTTAAAGTATGATAATATTTTATGTTTGTCTAAGGGAGATACATACTGACCTACTGATGGATAGTGATACATCCGAGATTTGCTTGAAAGTAATCCAGTAGGTGGGAGGTGAGGAGTGGGTAGGATTATGGATTAAACAAAACTGAGGATTAAATGCTTTTCTCTCTACTTGAAATTTTCCGTAATAAAAAGTTTGTTGGGGTTTATTTATTTATTTAAGAGAGAGAGAGAGAGAGAGAGAGAGAGAGCACACACATGAGTGTGCACACAAGGGAGGGGCACAGAGAGAGCAGGGATCAATCTCACAACCTTGAGATCATAACCTGAGCTGAAATTCAGAGTTGAAGGCTTATCTGACTAAGCCACGCAGGTGCCTAGTTGTTAATTTTTTTTGAAGAATATACTCAATGTATATTCCAACTCTTCCTTCTTGAGCTGAGGAAATGTAGACTCAACAGGGCAAACAGCTTTTGTTTCTCTGCTTACATTCAAATTTTTCACTGGAGACAAGAGCAGAATCAACTAAACATTTAAAAAGGAGACATAACTTCAGCATGGTTTGGTGACTGGTAGGATAGAAAGCATTCAGGCCTCAGAGCCAGGATTTGTACGGAATTCTAGAGTAACATGGGACAACTGTGTGACAGCCAGCTTATCCCAAAACCTTGTCTCAGTTTGAACTTCTTCATCTGGACAATTGATCTAAGACACCTGCTTTGCCAGCTTCCAAGATTGTTATACAAATCAAATAAGAAAACAGCCATGTATGTTGGATTTAAGACTGATTCCCTTGGACCCTGCAGATGTTAAGGGTACCATTTACTCTTGCAAGTTTTTCTAGATGACTGTGAATCTTGAGGAAGGGGGTGCCCGGGCGGCTCAGTTGGTTGACTCTTGATGTCGGCTCAGGTCATGATCCCAGGGTCGTGGGATCAAACCTCTCTTTGGGCTCAGCACTGAGCATGAAGCCTGCTTGGGATTCTCTCTCTCCCTCTCTGCCCCACTCCCCTGCTTGCGCTCTCTCTCTAAAACTAAAATATTAATTAACTAATTAAAAAACAAGCAAACAAAAAAACACAAAAGATCTTAAGCCAAAGGTTTATGTTTGGGCACTGAAAAGATATAGACAACATAGTACTATTTACAAGGACTGACAAGATAAGCTGGCTAATTTCTAGGCAAAGTAAATTTTGTAGAAACTATTTATGTACCTTCCTTGTTCAAGGTCCATTTCAGAAAGGGCCAGCAGCAGATTTGGGATATTTGTCTAATGAAATTATCATGTTTGGTTTAACTCTATAGTTGATTTATAATACACTTGGCCAAGATATATTCCACTTGTTACAAGGTCATTTTGTAAAAATTTTTTAAAAGTTATGAACCGGTGCTTTGTGAGTTTGGACTACTATAGATTAAAAGCAACTTTGTTGGGAAATCTATCTACAAACCACAAAAACCTAGCTTATTTTTTGGCATGTGCTTTCTGCCAAACTTTCTTAGCTTTCCTACAGTATTCAAATAATTCCCTTAGGAATTATTCTTTGAAAATACATATCCTCAACTGCCACTTTAGACTACAAAAATCAAGGGTCCTACTTCTCAGGGCTGTATCTATACTATTCCAAGTTTTAGACATATATTTCCAGGTGGCTTTTTATATAAAAAGTCTACATCTCCTGATTTAGCACCAGATGCAGTCAGAGGTAGGGTAAAACGGACACTGTATTCATAAATATCTTGAAGATTATTAACAAGATAGCCAATTCTTAGGGTGAGATTTTTGAACAAATACATAGTACTGATTTATCTCAAAGTTAAATAAATTATAATTTCATGCATAAAAAACTTTTGAAGCTTTGGATACTGTAGGTAATTTTAACTTTGATTTAATTTGCAAAACATTGTTTTTGACCTAAGTTTGTTATCTTGTAAAATCGGAGTCACAAAGTTTCAAATTGTCCCTTAAAAAAAAAAATCCCGGAGTCCCTGGGTGGGTCAGTTGGCTAAACATCTGATTCTTGATTTCTGCTCAGGTCATGATCACACAGTTTACAGGTTTGAGCCCCACATTGGGCTCTGTGCTGACAGCATGGAGCCTGCTTGGGATTCTCTCTCTCTCTCTCTCTCTCTCTCTCTCTCCCCCTCCCTTGCTCACTCTCTCACTCTCAAAATAAATAAATAAACATTAGGAAAAAAACCAAACCCATAACACACCCCAGGTAGCACACATTAGAATGGATGACCTCTAAGATTTCTTCCAATTCATCATTTCAGGGTCTACTTGTTAAGAATACTGAATTTATTGACAGGATTGACTTTTATTAGGAGCTTGATACAGGGGTGCTCAATATACTCTATTCTACTCATAGCAATAGGAAAATAACAATCACTTACAGGTAAAGGTTCGAAGTTTTGATCCACTAAGTGGTAGTTTCCGGCTCCAAAGAGCACTTGCCTCATCACCACTTCTATGCCCATTCTAGCCGACAGGCCCAATTTATCCAGCCACCTGAAAGGGAGGGAGGACCAGCTTTCTCCAGGTTTGGAAAACAAAAAAACTCAATTCTAATTACACACTATTCTGATTTATTCATCTATGTGGGAGGAATTGACAGGAAACCAGAAAAGTGGTATTAATTACAAAGAAGCTATTCAAATGCAATGGAGACTATCCTTTCCTTTACATGTTCCCACACTTGAGCATGATAATAAATCCTAGAATACTATTAATATGCCATATGAGTTTCTTTCGGGGTAAGAAAACTTCTGCAAAGCAGAGTAGACAAATTCTCACCCTACAGGCAATCGTTCTCCATCTTGCTGGATACCCTCCCCACTTCCCCACTCCCAGACCCATGTAAGGGCTAAAGAAAAGGCTGCTTGTAGTCAACAGTAGTACAATGTGAAATAAGTAAAATCACACCTAGACTTTTATGGCTGTCCCCCTCCACTCCCTCCATCTTTGGTGGATGGCAAAACAAACACTTTTATCCTTCATTCTCCTCCTCATGCCCCTCATGAGCAAAAATGATTTTTTTTATTATGGATTTATAAGAATGAGGATAGGAGAGGAAAGAGAATAAGTCTCAGTGTGAGGATATACAACTATAGATTAAGAGTGTTAATGGAGTTATGGAATATAAGTAAACCAGTTGTTTAAAGCAATCAGATTTGTAATAGATACTTGTCCAAAGGAGACAAAAATGCTGATTCAAAAGGGCATCTAAACCCCAATGTTTATAGCAGCACTATCAATAATAGCCAAAGTATGGAAAGAGCCCAAATGTCCATCGACTGATGATGAATGGATAAAGAAAATGTGGTAGATACATACAATGGGATATTACTCAGTGATCAAAAAGAATGAAATCTTGCCATTTGCAACAACGTGGATGGAACTAGAGGGTATTATGCTAAGTGAAATAAGTCAGAGAAAGATAAATATCGTATGACTTCACTCATACGTGGAATTTAAGAAACAAAACAGAAGGACATGGGGAAGGGAAGGAAAAATGAAATAAGATTAAAAACTGAGAGTTTGTTCTCTGTAGAACAAGCTGAGGGTTGCTGGAGGGGAGGTGGGTAGGGGAATGGGCTGAAGGGTGATGGGTATTAAGGAGGGCACTTGTTGGGATGAGCACTGGGTGTTGCATGTAAGTGATGAATCACTGGGTTTTACTCCCGAAACCAATACTACACTGTATGTTAACTAACTTAAATTTAAATTAAAAAAAAAAAAAAAGCAATCAAGTTTCTGGTGGTTGGATAAAGAGGTGATTTAGTAAGTCTTTAAATTATTGGTAGTTCCTCTGGTGAGACCTCACACTTCCGACTCTAAACTCCTTGGGAATCTATGAATAAAGCTACTATAAAAGTACACTAAGAATCCTTCTCAGACTCAAACCTCTAGAGGCACTCTTTTACATTCGCTTATGGAGGAAGGAATCCTTGGCATATTTATGGGCCATAATTAAGGAACAACACTTCTAAAGCAATTCATTCATACGATGATTAATTAGGGACACCCATTAAAGATGTCCAACAAACTTGAATAAAATGATTTCTTACAAAATGCGGCATGAATTTTGGGTCTCAGCCCTAGAAACTTTCTTTGATCAGCTTTTTGGCTGATGAGCCGTCTCAGTAGAATCTGTTTAATGAAAGGCCAGGAGAATGCTGCAGCCTGGCCCCTGAGGCGGTGCTGCTTCACTCACATAAAGCCAGCCGCAAAGGTGTTGGACAGCAGTGGCGCTCCACCCCCGTATGCAGAGCTTGTTTCTCCTAACCAAACTTTCTTGTGGGGTCTGGTCTCCTCAACAACCTGTGGAACAGGAAAGTCCCCATTATATTTGCAACCAAGCTGACCAAATACGGTGTTGAAGATTAATGACGTTTGGGGCGCCTGGGTGGCGCAGTCGGTTGGGCGTCTGACTTCAGCCCGGTCACCATCTCCCGGTCCGGGAGTTCGAGCCCCGCGTTGGGCTCTGGGCTGATGGCTCAGAGCCTGGAGCCTGTTTCCGATTCTGTGTCTCCCTCTCTCTCTGCCCCTCACCTGTTCATGCTCTGTCTCTCTCTGTCCCAAAAATAAATAAACGTTGAAAAAAAAAATTTTTTTTTTAAATAAAAAAAAAAAAAGATTAATGACGTTTAAAACTTTGTGTTCCCAGACTGATTTGTCCAATATAGTTACAACAAAACATGTTCGTGGTCATTGAGGTCTTGGGCAATTTACTTTTATTGGAATACTAAATTGTGGAAGGAATTTAAATAATCCCATTCCTATGGCCCGTGAGGCTATTCCATAAGGAGGTATTTTTAATTTTTAATCGATGTGCATGGATAAGATCTGATGGTAAGGGGGACTGATGGTGAATAAGTACCTGTTATCTAAAATTGGAAAAACATGTAAATTTATATACTTATAGAATTTAGAATTAGCTAGACTACACAATAAGGACTGGTTTTACAGACATGCCTCCTTATCTGCGATTTTGCAGTTTCGGTTACCCATAGTCAACCGTGGTCTGGAAGCAGATGATCCTCCTTCTGACCTATCATCAGAAAGTCAATAGTAGCCTAATGCTATGTCACAATACAAATGTCATTTGCCTCACTTCCTCTCATCACGTAGGCATTTTATCATCTCACATCACCACAAGAAGAGTGAGTGCAGTATGAGAAGATATTTTGAGAGAACACATTCATATAACTTTTATTACAGTATATTATTATAATTGTCCTATTTTATTATTAGTTGTAGTTAATCTCTTACTGTGCCTAACTTATAAATTAAATTTTATCATAGGAATGTATGTATAGGAAAAAGTATATTTAGGTTTTGATATTACCTGTGGTTCCAGGCATCTACTGAGGGTCTGGGACCATATACCCTACAGATAAAGGGGACCACTCTACATTAAAAAAAAAAAAAAAAGACTATTACCTGGAAAATTTTTTGCACAGATGAAGCAAAAGTGTCTAACACATCAGGGTTTAGAAAATCCTCTTTGGTAGCAATTCGTCCATTCAAGTAGTAGCTAAATTATTCAGAAAATATTCAGAAACAAACAAACAAACAAACTTTACTTTCTGCTTTTAAGTTAGTTGGCTCCCTTGCTCTCCTTCCTACCTCTTCCCACCCCTCTGTTATTAAGAAGAAGAAGAAGAAGAAGAAGAAGAAGAAGAAGAAGAAGAAGAAGAAG